CTTCTTCTCCTTCTTCCTTCTTCTTCTCCTTCTTCCTTCTTCTTCTCCTTCTTCTTCTTTCTTCCTTCTTCTTCTTCTTTCTTCTTTCTTCTTCTTCTTCTCCTTCTTCCTTCTTCTTCTTCTCCTTCTTCCTTCTTCTTCTTCTCCTTCTTCTTCCTTCTTCTTCTTCTCCTTCTTCTTTCTTCCTCCTCCTCCTTCTCCTCCTCCTCCTCCTCCTCCTCCTTCTTCTTCTTTCTTCTTTCTTCTTTCTTCTTCATGTAGCCTTGGCTATCCTGGACTCAATTTGTAGACCAGGCTGGCCTCACAGAGCTCCACCTGCCTCTGCCTCCTTGAGTGCTGGGATTACAGGCTTGTGCCACTGCGCCCGGTTAGTTTACTTTATTCTTTAAGGGGAAGAAAATGGCCAGGCATGGTGTCATACACCTTTGAGGCAGGGACTGGAGGATATCTGAATTCAAGGCTAGCCTGGTCTACATAGTGAGACCCTGCTTTAATAAATAAGACAAGGAGGAGCTGGGCATGGTAGCACACACCTTTAATTTCAGCATTCAAGAGGCAGAGGCAGGAGGATAGATGTGTTTCAAGGCTGGCTTCATATACATCTACACAGAGTTCTAGGATAGCCAAGGATGCATAGGAAGGAATAGGAATTCCTATGCAATAGAATTCCTGTCTAAAAATAGGAAGAAGGGAGGGAGGGAAGGAAGGAAGGAAGGAAGGAAAAAATGGTACATTAGGGATATAAATATCTCTTGCTTTTATCTGAAATTGGCAAATACTTTGTGAACTATGATATGAAGACGTGAATAAATACATTCAAAATGAGGTGAAAATTAAAGTTGCATCTGGGTATGATGGCACATGCTTGTAATGCTAGCACTGCGCGTGCATGCGTGCGTTGAATGAATGGTCTTCTATGTGTGAAGACCAGAATACAGTAGGTATCTTGCTCTATCACCCTCCATCTTATTTTGAGACAAGTCTTTCAAGCTAGGCAAGCAGCTAACAAGCCCTAGAAATCACCTTATGGCTGGAATGCAGATCAGCTTGTTTCTACCTCCCAAGTCCGAAATGGTTGTTTTTTTCTTTGTTTTGTTTTTTGTTTCTTAATTTTTTAATTTTTTTAAATGTGCATTGGTGTTTTGCCTGTATTTATGTCTGTGTGAAGATGCTAGGTCCCCTGGAACTGGAGTTACAGTTATGAGCTGCCATGTAGATGCTGGGAATTGAACCCAGGTCCTTTGCAAGAACAGCCAGTACTCTTAACTACTGTGCCATCTCTACAGTTCCATAAATACTTATCTTAAAAAGGAAAATTGTATGGATTTATTTTCTAAATCCATCTGTGCATATATACAGAAATGGAATCTTTAAATATTTAATTTAATTTAATTCTTTTGGTTTTTTTAAGACAGCGTTTCTCTGTGTAGCCATGGCTATCCTGGAACTCACTCTGTAGACCAGGCTGGCATTGAACTCACAGAGATCCACCTGCCTCTACCTCCCAAGTGCTAGGATTAAAGGCATGCACCACCACTGCCTGGTGGAATCTTTAATTTTTCAGATGATTGCTATTATGTGTATGAGTGTTTTGCCTGCAAGTATGTATGCATATTGTGTGTATGCCTGGGGAAGCTGGAAGAGGGCATTGGATCGCCTAGAACTGGTTGTAACCTGTCATGTGAGTGCTGAAAATTAAACCTGGGTCCTCTTTAAGAGCAAGAAGTGCTCTTAACTGCTAAATCATCTCTTCAGTCCCCAGGAATGGAATCTTTAGTTGAAAAGAAAGGTTAGATATGGTAATAGAAACCTATAATCCCAGCAGTCTGGAAGCTGGGACAGGAGGATCCCCAGTTTAGGCCAGTGTACCCTACATCATTAAGACCGTGTCCCATAAAACACAAAACAATGACCCCAACCCTTACCCTCCATAACAAAGGAAAAGTAAGGTATGAAATGTGAGAAGAGCTGTGTTGTATTTGGTTTTCTCTTTTCTCCTTTCTTGTTGGTTCCTCCCTTTTTGTTGTTTTTAGGGGCAGACCAGAGTATCACATGTAGCCCGGCCTGGCCTGGAGCTCTCACACACACATATGACCAAGGTTGGCATCTTGAGTGTTAGGGATTATATGTATGAGCCACCACACACAGATTGCTTTATTTTTTTTCTTTTAGATGGAAGTTCATGGCATTTGCTTCACAGACCATTGTATTTTCTGAGGTCTTGGGTACATTAGAGAAAGCAAGGGCCTGCAGTTAGAAAAGACTACATATATATAAATGCCCTCACATAATAAAGGGTACATGTATTAGGACAAGACAACAAAGTACCCGCTGAAGCTTGGTGGTTTACTCTAGCACAAAGTACCCGCTAAAGATTGGTGGTTTATTCTAGCTAAAGCATTTATTTTCTTTCACTTTATATTCTTAGGTGGCACTGTGGGACACCAAAAGGGAAAACTTTCCCAAAGAAATTCAAAGTAGGGAAAGGTTAGAATAAGGTGAACATTTACTTTTTAAAGATTTTGATAAATTTTATGTGTATAGGTTTTGCTGGCATGTATGCCTGTGGTACACAGGCATGCCTAGTGCCCTTAGAGGTCAGAAGAGGGCAAGGCTTTGGATCACCTGGAACTGAAGTTACCCTTTTTTAGAGTACCTATCAGCTCTGCTTGAAGCATGAACCTTTGGAATGAGGATAACAGTGTTTCCTGTGGGAATTGGGGAGATAACTCAGCAGTTAAGAGAGAACTAGCTGCAAAGCCTGGCAGTGGTGGAGCACACCTTTAATCCCAGCACTCGGGAGGAAGAGGCTAGCCTGGTCTACAGAGGACCAGCCAGGGCTACACAGAGAAACCCTGTCTCAAAAATCAAACCACAAACAAAAAGATCACCTGCTGCTCTTGCTGAGGCCCTGGGTTTGGTTCCCAGCACCACATGGTGGTTCACAGACAGCTGACTCCAGTTCTTGGGAATCCTGTGCTCTCTTCTGACCTCCAAGGGCACCAGGTGTGAAAATTCATGGTGTATGGACATGCGTACCCATGAAATAAAATAAATTTTAACAAAAGGTTGCCTGTTCTCAGCCATTCCTCTTTAAAGTCCAAACTGAAATGAAGTGGGAAGAGACAGGGGGGAGGGGCAGTCACTTGAGAAATGACACTTTTATCTTTAGTGCCAGTCAGCTCTAGAGCAAGCATCAAGTGCTGCCTTTATTTACTCAAAGCCATGGGAAGGAAAATGTCTAAGAGAGGAAAAGAAAAGCCTCATATGATATTCCTTTGAGGTTGCTAATCACCTATCTTTTTCTTTTTCAGTGAACGAGATAATTGGGAGAGACATGTCCCAGATTTCTGTTTCCCAAGGCCCAGAGGTGAGCAGAGACGCTCTTCTCCCAGGTCCCGAGTCCCCAGGTGTCAGAAGATCTGATGGGCTCTAACAGTGCTCACTGAAGCTTTGTACCCACTACCAACTGCTCAGCCGGCTTCTCTCTTGGACCTTGGGTTTCCAGCCAGACTTCAGAACCTGTTGTAGGAGTTGGACTCACTGTTGGAAAAGCATTCCTCCACCTCAAGCCTTGGGCAGATTTTGTAAAAGAACAGAGCAGCATAGGCTGTTTGAGCTGTGTGAAAACAAGTTTCGCTTTTTTATATTTAAATAGGATACTTTTATATGATGGGTGCTTGAGTGTGAATGCAGCAGGCTCTCTATTTCAGAGGTGCTGCTCTTGCAGGTGACCTGGTTGCATAGCTAGGATTAGTAATTTGTACTGCTTTCTGGTCATTTGAAGAGCCCTTTAGTTTTGATATTTTTAAAATAGAATTTTTGATAAAACCTTCCAGAGGCAGATAAGAAAAAATATTCTAAGCCCACACTTACACCTCAAAACTTAGCATGCATCCTGAAGCCTTTCATAGAGACATAGGAAATAAAGCCAAATGTAGATCACACTCTTTATAAAAAGAAAAATGTCAGGTATATCGAGAAGAGACCATTCCATCATTGAAGTGTTGGATATGAATACATTCCAGAGCATAGCCTTTTGTAACTTTAGATCACCATCAAGCAGTCTCTCCACTAGCTCAATGTTCAAGCTGTTTTTTTTTCCTCAGGATCTTGGATAAAACCGTCATTTGTAAGGTGAATTTCAAAGGTAGGGTTTTAGCTTAGGTAGTTATTTTCTACCTAATAAATAGAAGTGGGAGCTTCTGCCGTTAATCTGTAGTGTTTGAAGCCAGTCTCCTGATAGTTTAGGCATTGCGGTTTTAACTCTTGAGGCCAGGCCATCAGTGCCAGAAACCAAGTACGAATGAGCTGTATAATAGAGGAGGCAGAGAAAATGCAGGAGTCCAGAGGTGAAGACTTTAAGATTCACAATGACATTGAAGGCTTATCTCCTGTTTACAGCCTGCAAGGATTCTTTACCTGACTATATGATCCAAAAACCAGCCTTTCCGCCAAAAGGCTTTGAGAGACATCCAAAAATGAGATGGTCATAGACCTATCCTTCCACACCAAAGACACCCTGGTGCTGCTGCTAGGGAGGCTTGTGTCCAAGGGAAGGCCCAGTAGGAATTCCAGCCTGCTGTCTACCAAAGGAGGTGCCCTAGTTGGGTACTATTCCCAAACCCTGCCTTTGTTCTTCCCTGTTAAAGTCCCTGAATTTTACAGTATGTTTAAATGATATAATGTACATGTATTCATTCAGGAAGCAAATTGAGTGCCTACAAGTGCTACTACTCTCGGGGTTGTGACCCTTGATAGTAGGGCTATCTTTACTAAGGCTACATCAGGCCTAAGCAGGGGCTGGCGTGTTGCCCACCACCTCTAGTAAGCAGGGTAGGAGGTACTGATTCAGGATGAGGGAAGTATGTATTTATTTTTAACACAATGCTTTACATTTCTTCCCTAAAGCTAGTTAGAAAACAGTTTATCAGCAAATCGCTCTGGCCACTCCTGGAGCTGGATATTTTCCAAGTTTCCCTCAAAGTAAGTTTTGTATCAGTGGGTGTAGACAGTGAGATTTGCTTTAGGGCCCATGTTGGTAGCCCACAGCTTCCTCTAAAGGGCATTGGCCTCTCAGGTGAACTTGCAGAGACTTGGCCAAATTTGCTTCCACCCTCTTTCCCCTGGGGCAGTTCTCATATGGGGTCATTGCAAGACCCCTTGGGGGTGCTGCTTTGCCGCCTTCAAGAATAAAAAGCCTCTATGATCCAGAGTTGCTATGCACCACATTTTGATGCCTTTTAAATACCTTGATGCCTGTAGCATTAGAAATGCTTTCCTATTTAAAATGGGTTAGGTTTTAAAATAGAGCTTTGTATTCTATGTAATGGTTTTGTATTAGCTTTGTATAAGCTTTCATGTAAGAGTAATATTTTTGGGCTTTGTAGATAAAGACAAATTTTTGTGCAAAATAGTGGTGGTAAAGCACACATCCATTGGACTATGCAAATTGACTTCTAGTAGCAGCACTGAGCAACTGGGCATTGGCTAGCACACCAACTTTCCTCTCACCTGTACGAGACCTTGGCTTGAGGAATGGAGGAGCAGCCTTCTGTTTATTAGAGATGCAGAGACATGGCTGAAAACATTACAAAGAGATGTTTGGGTTCACATATGGTGCTGCTGCCTTGGGTACAACCCACCCCACCACCCAGGGCCAGCAGTATCACCAGACTGGTGCTGGGCCTCGCTGAGAAGCCCAGTTTCTAATATGCAGAACACAGAGTCACTTTACAGGCTCAGATGGGCACAAGTTGAAACCCTGTGTTTTATAGAATGGATGTTTGGGTGAAGAAATTGGTTCTCAGTTATGTTTACAGCACTAGGGATTGTGTTTTCTTGTATATTTTGTATTTTAAAACCTTTTCTAGGAGTGCAGTGCTCCTTACACAAATACAAAGGGAAGACGAGCCAGCAGTTCAGGCTCCTCCTCAGTTACAGTGCTGAAATAATAAACAGTGAACAGTCTCCTTGAAGTTTTACTTTTTCTCCACCTGGGGCTGGTGTGGAGCCCTCTGGGCCAAAGCTAAGGGCTCTGTGGCTTTTTAAAAGTCCTCTTGACCAGGAACTTCTAACACTTTACAGAGAAGGTAGAGCTCAAAATTCCTTCTGAGACTTGAGTTCTGCACCCTTTAATCGCTGCAAAGGACATGCCATGGCATTTGCTGGCTTCGGGACAATTTTTCTTCCAAGATGTTGCAAGAAAAAGTTGGCAAAGTCCCCTTTAACCTGAGTTTGCATGTGCTTCTTGCCCTCTGGGGATATTGCAGCAGCACAGTCTAGAATAGCTTGGGGGTTTTGTTGTTTGTGGTAGGGGGCTATAAAGCCTTGGCTAGACTAGAATATACTAGATTTGTACTTAAGGCAGTCCTGCCTCTGTCTCCTGAGTGATGGGGTTACACGCATGAACATCCCATCCAGCTGGTGGTTTTATCATCCCAAGATCCTTGGGCCTGGCTGGAGCAGGTTAGCATATTCATTGTGAGGACACCCCTGGCACTTTTTTTCTGAGGTCCAGGTATCCTGAAGGTGAGTGCTGCCTTCCTGCTTCCTGAAAGGATAGGGAGATAGGGTCTTTATTCAGACTCATGCGGACTCTTGATTCTCCCAGGAATCATAAATATTAAAGGTACCCGGGCCTTAATATTTTAAAAAGAAAACACAGGCCTGCTGTGCACCCTTCAAACCCAGTATTTGAGGGCCAAGGACAGACCGAAGGCTTTCTGGGTGTCACTCCATCAGGAATAGAGCAGCCCCATCACATCCCCAGCCCTGCCTGTAAGGTAGCCATTATCTTTAGAGTAAGCAGGCAGAGAAACAAGGGCGTATGGGAGGAAGGAGAGCAGTGAGCTTGGTCTTTTCCAGGTGCTTTTGGGAGCTTTGACAAGCCAGAAAGAAGCTGCTGGATTGAGAGTGCTCTGGATTCAGGAAAGGCTTGTTAGCTGCAGACATCAGCTCAGTCTACTTCCTGGTTTCCTCTCCTACAAACACACCCACTCCTTGGGGGCTTGTAACACAGTGCGAGGTGGGTCACCCACAGGCATCAGAGTGGTGTAGTCATCAGGAGCCAGCTGCAGAAGTAACACAGATTTAGGGGCTGGAGCTCCAGGCTCCGCTAGGAGCTAGGCCCTCGGGCCCTCCCAACACCACCTCACCTGGTAGGCTTGAAAGACACTGAGCAGATCCTTCATACCGGCCGTGTATGGGACCCCCTGCATTCGGACCAGGGCTCCTGGCTGTGACAACATTGAGGTGGGAGTAGAGGCCAAGGCAGTGGGAGATGTGGTGAGGTAGCCCACAGTAGTGGGAGAGACTGGGGGGCTAGGGTGGAAGAGACAAATTCAGTCATACATTCCATCTGTAGCTTAGACCAAGACCACCGTCTCCTATACTTGTGCCTTGTGTTTGATCCTTTCTATTTTCTGAACTCTGCCTCTACAGTGATAATTCTGATTGTCAGCCCATACCTTTACCTCCCTTGTCATTTTAACAGATCTTGGATTATCTGGGGTAGAAATGTGTCAGGACCCTTCCCCAAATGGTGACACCTGGTTGAGGCTGTCCCAGTAGTAAGGTACCTGGGGTAGTAGGCAGTGTAGTTCATGTAGAGTTGAGTGGCTGGCCCTGGGTAGTAGGCAAGAGGGGCAGGGCCAGCAGATACTCTGGCAGCTGGAAGCAGTGCAGAAGAGGGGTAGAGTGCTGTTGTGTCTGTGGGAATAAGGGCTGGGGTGGCCTGGAAGGTGGCGTAGGTGGGCGGTGAGAGGCCTAGAGACAAGTAAAGAACACATTTAGAGAGTCTACAGTTACCCTGAATAGGGCAACTAGAAAAGAAAATGGTGGCTTAGAACAGCTTGGTCCCTCTAGCCCATGAAGCACTCACAGGGCAATTTGCAGGGTGGAGGGGATAAGCCACTCCGGCTCAGGGAACCCCCCATCAGCACGCGGCTCATCTCCTCTGTGGAACAAGGGACTACTTCCACATAGCGTTCTTTCATCACCTTCTTGTGGCAACGCTGAGCAGCAGCCAGAGCACGCTCTGCTGATGTCATCTGGATGAAGGCATCACCAGATGGCCGGCCCTGTGCACACCACCTTGTAAGCAGTTTGTCACATATGAAAGTGCCTTGCCCCTTCCTACCCTGTGTGGATGCCCTTCCTAGCAGTAGTCTCACCTGCTGGTTGAGCACCATATGCACACCATGAGGCCGAATGTCAGCTGCTGCCTCTCCTAGAAAACTCAGAATGTCTTCAATGGTGGCTGTGTAGGGCAGGCCTCGAAGGCGTACACAGTCCCTCCCAGTCCCTCCTGCCAGTGGGAAGGGAATGGGCAGCAGCGGAGCAGTCAGTGTGGGGAGGAGAGGGCTGGTTGCATAGCGGTTAAGGACCTAGTGAGAAAGGCAACAGTTTCATCAGGTAGGGGACCCAAGGCACATCCTGAAGCATCAACACAGTGGGACACGAGGAGCCTCGAGTGCTTACCTGCTGCACTTCAGCTGCAGTGCTCCTGAAGAGTTCAATGTATCGCTTACCCAGCATGCCTTTGTGCCTGCGCAGAGCAGCCTGTGCCAGTTCCTCACAGGCAAACAGAGCAAAGGCATCCCCAGTTGGTCTGCCATCAGGGTGGCGCACAAAAAGCAGCCCATCAGCACCCCCAGTCACTGGGCATTCTGGCCCCAGGAAGCTTAGAACATCTGTTGGCCCAGCTGAAAAGGGCAGTCCCCGCAGCCTCAGGATCACTTGATCTTCCCGTGATAGGAAACGGGCCACCTCTAGGGATGTGCCTAGTTGGGAAGAACAGGAGCCCCTCGGTGACTTAATCCTCAGCACGCACCCACAGGGGACCCAAGAGGCAGTGAGTGGTGGGGAACAGGATGCAGATCAAGACAAGGGAGAACTAGGGCCTTCCACGGGCACACTCACCCCCTGCGATCTTTACAAACTCCTCCCCTGTGGCTTTATATACCTGTGGGTATAGAGAGCAGCCCATGGGTCTCAGTCCATACTCGGCTTTGCCCTGCCCCACTTCCAGCCCAAAGCCCCACCTCAATATATCGGGCACCCATGTGGTGCTTGTGTCTCTGCAGCGCTAGGTCCCGCTGCTCGCTGTCCACGAATCGAATGAGGGCCTCGCCATTTCTGCGGCCCTGGGCGTTGAGACAGAGCGCCACACCACCCCTGCGGAGCCAGTGTTGTTAGTGCCTCCTGGGTAGGCTTGCCCGTTTACCCTCCCATCCTGCCACACCCACCTGGCAATGTTGAGCCCTTTGAAGAATCGAGCCACATCCTGGTCTGACGACTGCCAGGGCAACCCACGGGCCCGGACTACAGTCTCATTGTCCACCACATCAGCCTTGCTGCTGTGAGGGCAGGTCATAGGATCAGAGCTGTCCAAACATTGTCACCCCCACCCCAGCTGCCACACTCACCAAGGCCCTGTCTCATATTTCTGCTTTACCACCTCTGGCTTCGAAAATAACTGACCTGAGAGGAGATGGCATGGGGGTCAGCAGGGTCTGGTGGAGGAAGGCTCCCCACCAAGCTCTGCAAAAATAGGACAGGTGAGGGAATTGAGGAGGTGACAGAGGGGTTTCCACCTTGTGCTCTCTTAGAGAAGGTCACAAGTCTGCAAGAGGACTCTGAGGAAGTAATGGGCATTCACCCAACCCTCACAGTAGGTGACAAGCAGTGCAAGAATCTTACCATTGGGCCCGTCAAGCAGGTGGAGAATAACAGCCACCATAGTCTTCACTTCCCAGACCCCAAAGTCATCTTCTGTAGGATCTGTTTCTAGTCCCAAGGCTACAGGCAGAGAAGTGACAACTGGAATCCAGGTCCATATGCCCCACGTCACCCCAAACACCCACAGATTCCTGGCCAATACTAGCTGTGGCCCAGTTCATACATGCACCTACAAGTCCTCAGACCAAACACAGACATGCCCACATTCCAAATGTATCCCAGCATAGATGCAGACATGGGTACCTTAAAGGATCGGGCCAAAAACATAGACTTGCCTACATTAATATAACCCATACAGGAGCATGCACATGCTTGGACAGATCAGCCACCCCTCCACCTTAATTCTGCTGGGTCACAGATACCCTGTGCCATGGTGCCCACTGTGAGGTCTCTGGGGGAGCAGGCGCTTGGATGCTGCATATGGAACTCTCTGCGGAGGTCGTAGAAGGAGAAGAAGGTGTCGGGGAGCACCAGGTTCTGGGAGCACATGGGAGTGGGGATGAATAGGTAAACTAAGGTCCTGCCCATCCCCACAACAACAGGGACCTTGGGAACCCAACCACCCATGTGCCCTCAATGGCATACCTTCCTGGAGGCCTCAGGGTGCAGAACCTGTCGCAACAGCTGCTGCCCATCAGTGCAAAGCACATAGGGGCCCCCGCCCAGCAGAGCCACATCCCCGCTCACCAGCTGTGAGAACTGGGGACAGGGAGTGGAGACTCAGACATAGATTCACAGCTAGGCAGGCTGAAACTGGGGGCAGGAGGAGGGAGGGACTCAGGCTGCAAAGCTGGTTCAGCAGGATGTTCCGCCCTACCCTGCCTGGGAAGTAGAAGGCCTTGCCCTATATCCCAGGCTCCTAATCCCCACCCCTGCCCTAGTCCACTGTCACCTCCTCTAGGCCAAAAGAGAACAGTCACACATAACCCAAGTCCCCATCAAACACACTCCAGGAGTCTGGAGCGGGGCCAGAGCAAACACCTGGTTGGAGTGAGGCAAGCAGGTGGGGAGGGGAGGGGCAAAGCAGGTTAAACCTGTCCTGGACCAGACACCACCCTCAGACAGGTGGGGGAGGTTCACACCTGCCCGAGGGCCAGAAGGCTCACGGTCAGCGGCAGCCCCGCCCCTCGGTCTGACCAACCCCAGAACAGGGAAACACCAAGGACAGAGCTTTACACTTGGACACTAGCAGCAGCCTGAGCTTTGACCCACACCCTATCGACCAACTGGCACTGAACTGTTTGCTTACAGAGGGGGTGGCACTCTGAAAGCTACTCAGCACGCTCCTGCCCTTTCCCTGCCAAGTCTGTGACACTTTTCAACTTAAGGCCGACAGAGCAAGGCACCCAGATTTTCTACAGCAGTCTCCCAAAAGAGCGGTAGGTTAAACCTGGAGCCCTTCTGTAACATGCTCAGATTCAACATCTTTATGTTTCCTCAGAACCAGAGTTGGAAGAGTTAAGAATCTATGCTTCTAAAGGACTCCCAGTCTTTACAACTCAGTCATGGGGTGAGTGTAGCAGTGCAGACAGGGAAAACAGCAGTGAGACTTGGCCAGGGTTGGGGTTGGGGGAGGCCTTATGCGCTCTGCAGGCAGGTAGCCACCAGGTACTGGGCGGACAGCACCCACGCCTGGCCAGTCGACTGGGACAGGCCTAAACCAGCCGCCCTCACCTAGCGGCGTCTGCCCCTGAGGCAGGCACCGCCCGACGCCCTCGCTCCAGCCGCTCCCAGGAGGGCGGGCGGCAGAGACCAAGTGATCTACCGCCAAACCTGAGCCCCTCGACCCTACTTCGGAGGCGTCGGGGCCTCGCTCCTCTGTTAGCGGGGAGGAGGAGGGAGACGAGGGAGACCTCGGGGGGGGGGGGAATCCCTCAGCCGCTATTGTCACCCCCTCGGCAGACGTAGATGTCTGCAAAGGTTGGAGAGTAAGGTGCCCCTGGGAATGGCCTAGCACGCGCTCACGCGGCAGTAGCTCAAAAGTTTCAAAGCAGACCCTGTCCTACTGTCCAGTGCCAGTGGGTCGCGGTGCTCCAGGCCTCGCCTCCTGCCCCCCTCCGCTTCCCACGCCGGGGTAGCGCCCCCGCCGCCCCACCGCCCACGCGGGGCCCCACGCTCACCTGCTGCAGCACCTTGTCCAGGGAGTCCGCCCGCGCTAGGCTGTCGGCGCTCAGTCCGCTCGCCTCGCGGCACTGTGCGCTCAGGGCAGCCGCCTCGGCGCGAACGAGCGACTTGTGCAGCGTCCCCACCTAAGGGCCCCGGAGGTAACCGGATGAGCCGCCGTCCCTCACAGGCCTCCGCGCGTACCGAGGGGGCCCGCCACCTCTTTCCATCATCCTACCTGTCGGCTACGCGGCTCCACCACTTGCCAAACTAGGAGGATTAAGTCGGTCTCGTCCGAGCCCAGGTCCGGCCCCAGCGCACCAGCCGTGGCCCCGAACAAAACGACCAGCGACTGGGGTCCGGGGCAGGGGTCGGTGGCCGAGTCTACGGCGGGATCAGGGCCCGGGGGCGGGGGCGGCGGGGGCGGCGGTGGAGTCATGGCCGCAGAGCAAGGGGGCGCTCGGCCACACGCACGCGGACCGACCTGGCGCACGCACGCACCGACCGACGGCAGACAGACGAGCTTGGGCGGGATCCGGTGTGTTGGGGGCGGCACCTGCGGCGGGGCTGGTGCAGGGGAAGCTGCAGAGACCCGCCCGCGGTGCCCTTCGGGGCTGGGCGGCGCGGCTGCCGGTCCCAGCCCACTCCGGCGAGTTACCTGCTGCCCCGAGGGCCACGTGATCGGGGCGGTCCCGGGAACCTCGCGGGAGGGCCAGAATCCTGCCCAGGAGGCAAGAACTCACTCCAGCGGGGGCGTGAGTTCGGCGGCTGGAGTCCCACCTCCCGGTGCGGTCCTGCGAGGCTCCTGGGACAAACCCATTCTTTCTCCCACTTCCTCTCCAGCGGGCACCATGAAAGAATGTGCGGGATCAGAGGCCTTTTCCATTCCGCGAGGGCCACGCGGGACCCGTGGAAGTCACCAGGAGGCAATCTGGGGGCTGTGGGGGTCGGCTTGGGGCTAGTGGAGGTCACTAAGGGTCAAAAGCCAACTGTGAGCGCTACCGGGTGTCTACTGGAAGCCGGTGGGAGAGACAGGCTGGGGAAAGGGAGGGCGGCGAAGATCAAGGGCTGGCAGAGCCGTGGGCGGTCGCGGAGATCCCAGGGCGGGACGTGCTCGTACAGGTGCTAGCGTCGGCGAAGGGCCGGTCAGTGTGGACGCCGGAGCTCAGGCCTTGGTGCCAGGCTGGGAGGCTCTCCCCTCAGACCCCGGGGGAGCCAGCCCACCAGCCCTTCCTGGGATTTGCCTGTCTGTTTTCTTCTTCCCCGGCAGGTACCCGCGCTGAGCTGTGAGCCCGCGCGTGCAGGCTGCAGAGTCTGCTGCCTCCCGGCCCAGCTCAGACTAGTCCCATGCACCACACGCAGTTTGGTGCGACCCCCTCACTGTTGTTTCCAGGCCGACCTGGGCACTCCCGATAGTTTTCCGTCTACTTAACTGTAATTAGTAATCTGGCGGGAGGCTATAGAGATACAGGGTGCCAAGGCTGAAGAACCCTGTGTTTGGAGAAGCGGGGCGCTACTACACATCAGTCTCGGATAAAAGGCAGACCAGAATCCGGGTGCGTCCCCGACTCACGCCCGAGGAAGGGAGTGAGTAGCCCGAGAACCCCGAGTGGACAGTGCGCCTCCCGGGTTCCCCACACAGTAGCAGAGGAACACGGAGACCGGATAGAGTGGAAAGCGGCCGCTGTGCTCAACCCCTCTCCCGACAGCCCACCCCTGGCCAGCCTCCTGGGCCCCGCCCCCACGATAAGCCAGGAATGCCAAATATTTGCTCTGGGAACCCAGCGAAACGGTGAGGCGAAGCCCCTCCCTTGCCCCCTCCGGTTCCGGAGCGTGCCTGCGTCAGGACGGGCTTTCCGGTGGGACACGCCCTTCCAAGTAGTTCCTTCTACCGGTCAGCCCCTCGTCCTGGCTGTTTAAACGGAAAGGCCGGCTGCACGCACCGGTTCCGTGAGGCGGAGCCCCGGCGTCCCTGCACGGCGATCTCGGTGCTACTGGAACAGTTGTCTACTCCCGGCGAGGCTTTCCCGTTCGCTCGCCGACTCTCGGGAGCGCTGTGAGATCCCTTGCTGTCCTGAGCCCGCTGGAAAGAAGCTGCTGCGCCCAGGTTCCCACTAGTGAACCCGAAGCACCGGGCTGGCAGAACTGCACGGCTCCGTCCAGGTCTGGTGCGCTCATCCAGCCATTCCCCATAGTAAAAATATTCCAGACCCTCACAGTCTTTGGGTTTTTGTTTTGTTTTGTGTTGTTTTGTCATATTTATTTGTGCCTGTGTGTAGGCGCGTGCGTGCTACAGCTCGTGTGTGTCGGTCAGAGGAAAACTTGTGAGAGTTGGATCCACCGAATGGATCCCGGGGATGGAACTCTGGCAAGCCCTCCTAGCACCCATGTTTGGCTTTTTGAGACTGGCTGTCATGTATCCGTGTACTCACTAAGTAGTGGGTAACTTGTAAATCTGATTTTCCTGCCTTGACATTCCAAGTGCTCGGGAAGCCAGCTAGGAGTGCCTCTGCGCTCAGAAGGTCTACTTTGCAAGTTCCAGACCGTAAATAAATAAAGCCAAAAAGATCAGTGGCTGAGTGTAGGCTCTCGACCACCCAAGAGGCTGGGACAGGAGTTTCAGGGCATCCCGAACTGCTAACTTAAGCAAAAATAAATGATCTTTAAAGTAATTATGTAGACAGACAGTGGTGGCTCGTGACTAATTCTAGAATTTGGGAGGTAGAGGCAGGTGGATCTCTAAGTTCAAGGCTAGCCTGCTCTATAGAGCCAGATCCAGGGCTAAACCGAGAAACCCTGTTTTGAAAAACGACACAATTGTTGATAGGGTCTGGAGAAATGGCCCAGTAGTTAAGAACACTGACGACTCTTCCATAGGACTCGGGTTCAATTCCCAGCACCCACAGTTCACAACTGTCTATAACTCAAGTTCCAGAGGATGTAGCTCCTCACACAACATACATACAGGCAAAACACCAGTAAACATGAAATAAATTTAAAAAATTAAAAAATATTTACAGCCAACTGTGGTAGTGTATGCCTTTAATCCCAGTAGAGACAGGTGGATCTTTGTGAGTTCAAGGCTAGCCTGGTCTAGGACAGCTCCAGGACAGCCTGCTTACAGAGACCCTGTCTCAAAACAAACAAACCAAGTGATGATGGGTCTTAGACCATCCTATCTTTCTCTCTCTGTATCCTTGGCTGTCCTGGACTCCTTTGTAGACCAGACTGTCCTCACACTCACAGAGATCCCCCTGCCTCTGCCCCCCAGAGTGCTGGGGTTACAGGCCTGCATGACTGTACCTTCCTGAACCCTATCATTTAATAGACAACTTTGCACTCCTTACCCTTCCCCATGAAGTGAATTTGTAACACTTCATAAATATATATTTTTTTAAAGATGGAATGGCAACATTGTAGTCCTTAGCTGGTCTGGAACTCACCAGGTTTGCCTAAAACTCAGAGATTTGCCTGCTTTGCTTTCTAAGCACTGGGAATAAAGGTGTGTGCCACCAGGGCTGGAGGGATGGCTCAGCAGTTAAGAGCACTGTCTGGCTGGGTGTGGGGGCATGCTTTTAATCCCAGCACTCAGGAGGCAGAGGCAGGCAGATTGCTGTGAGTTAGAGGCCAGCCTGGTGTAGAAAGCAGTTCCAGGACAGCCAAGACTAGAGAGAGAAATGGTGTCTGGGGGTGGGGGGTGACCACTGGCTGCTCTTCTAGGGGGTCCTGAGTTCAATTCCCAGCAACCACATGGTGGCTCACAACCATCTGTACTGGGATCTGATCCCCTCTTTTGGCATGCAGGCATACATGCAAAAAGAGCATTCATATATGTAAAGTAAATAAATCTTAGGAAAAAAAATGGTGTGCACCCTATGGCAGGATCATTGATTGTGCCAATCCTCAAGGGCAGGGATTCCACACACTATTCTGGGGGCTGTCAAGGCCTGTGAATTAATTAATCATCTTGTTGCTTGTTTTCTTCTTTCTTTCTTTTTTCCCACAGTACCGGAACTTGCTTTGTAGACCAGGCTGGCCTCAAACTCCTAGAGAGCTGCCTATCTATGCCTCCCCAGTGTTTGGGATTAAAAGCATGTGACACCATGCCTGGTGGCCTTTTCTTCTTCTTCTTCTTCTTCTTCTTCTTCTTCTTCTTCTTCTTCTT